ACCCAGCTGCCCTCCTGCCACCTTCCCATGCTGCCCCAGGGGCAAGCTAGTGTGTTCCTGGGTGGCCCCAGGTGTCCTGCTGGCTGCAGGTGCCTGATGAAAGCAGAAAGGGGCCCAATTTTTTTTTTCTGGCGGTGCCTGCCCACCTCTCCTGTGGCCGGGTGGCAAGCTGCTGGTGGGTCACGTTCCCCCTGAGCTGCCAGGGTCCCCAGTCCTTCCCTCTGTGGCAGTGATTCCCTCTGAGGCCACCCAGGTGGGCTGCTAGTAGGCCAGGTGCTGCCCCAGCTCAGGGTTGGGGAAGAGTTGGATCAGGCTTACTGCTTCCTCTGAGCTGGGGCAGCATTCGGCCCACTAGCAGTCTGCCCGGGAAGTCCCAGGGTGTATTTCCACCACAGAGGGAAGGACCAGGGCCCCCTGTAGCTCAGAGATGGCTCAGCCTGCTAGGAGCTCACCCCACAACCATTGGCAAGCTCTGGCTCTGACCAAAAAAAAAAAAAAAAGGCTTGGGCCCCTTGCCATAACATGACAGAAAAATTGAAATGGTGGGTTTTAATTAAAAAACCCACCACTTCAATTTAGGGGCCACAGAATAAAACCCTGAGGACTAAACCCTAGGCATGTGTACAAGTGCCCCTAGTGTTTGTCTGTTCCCTGTGGGAGTGCAGAGGATGACCTTTGGTCTCTATCCTTACACAGCAATAACAGATGTTCCACATAGATTTCTTACATTTAACGAATGTAGGATACAAAAGCTGAAACCCTACTTCTGACAATGTCCCCAAATAGCAGACAGCAAGTGGAATTAATAAGTCTGAAATCAAACAAATAACTGTTCAAAATTCAAAACAGGTATTTTTTAACATTATTTCACATAGTTAAGTCTGATTTCCTCTATAGAGAGCTGATGCTCCGAAATATATCTGGCAAGGAGCAGTCAAAAGCAGCAGCAATTTTAGGCCTGGTCTAAATGTTGCTAGTGTAGCTACATCAAGAATGTGAGACCCCGGCCGCCCCGCTTTTACCAAGATCACTTTGTCAGCAAGGGTACTGGGGTACATGTGTTTATGCCAGCATGACATTTTTTGCTATATATCACTTCTTTTTTTTCCTGAGGAACTGATACACTATACTGACATAAAAGCTTCATCTTCTCATGGGCAGTTTTCTAGCATAGAGACATCAGCCACCCACTTCTCCTCTTGGCAGCACTTTAGCACATGTATAATTATAATGGACTCTTCCTAGGGTACAGAAGTACTTTGAACAAATGTGTTCCATTTTATCCAAGGTTCATATAAATCCTACCATGTGTCAGGGTAGGCAAATATCATACCAATTCCACACCTGGGTAAAATTCTAGTGCTGAAACACTCAGTGACTAGAAACCGAGAAAAATTAGTAGCAGAACTCAGGACTCAAGTCTCCAGATCATGTGACCTCAGTCCCTCTGCAATGCCCATTACTTGGTTTGGCTGGCAGAGCACAAGTTGCAGGGGGCGACCAGAAGTCGGTTTGTGTGAACGTGTTTAGAACATCTGCTGATGTTGCAACGTCTTTGTGATTTGCTCTATCAAAATAGAGCCACTCTGATTTTATAAGCATAGAATCCTTTTGTGCTATACTTACACAACGGTTGCACTATAATCTGATTTCCCTTTTCTATATGGAAATTACTTGGGGAGAAGTAAATTAAGCTCTTTAGTGATAAAACTAGTAAGAGGTCAAGAAGAAATTGATATGCAAGTGTGCAGGCCTTGTTATCTGCAAAAAAGTTGATAACACCCACTTTTCACAATTATTCCCCAGGTTTTTATCAGTGAAATATATTTAGAACTGTTATTCCCACTACAGAAAGGATGTGAACACATTATAGAGAGTCATCGTTTCATAGTAGCTAGGGTCAGGAGGGACCTGAACAGATCATCTAGCCTGACCCCCTGCCACAGGCAGGAATGAATGCTGGGTTCACAAGACCCCAGCAGAGGGTACCAAAAATCGTTGTGGGGCTGTGGCACATGACTTGTGAGGAGAGGCTATGGAAGCTGGGCTTATTCAGTCTGGAGGAAGAGAAGACTCGGGGGGAATTTAATAGCAGCTTTTAAGCACCTCAAGGGTGGTTCCAAAGAGGAGGAGCTGGACTGTTCTCAGTGGTGGCAGATGACAGAACAAGGAGCAATAGTCTCGAGTCGCATCAAGGGAAGGTTAGGTTAGATATTAGGAAAAACTCTCTCACTAGGAAGGTAGTAAAACATTGGAAGAGCTTTCTCAGAAAGGTTGTGGATAATCAGCCCCCAGCACACATGCCAGTGTGTGACATGCAAAGCCATTTTGCTTGGTGCACACTTTGGGGAAGATGTTAGGGAAGTTTCTGGAGGTTTTTAAGACCTTGCTAGACAAAGCCTTGGCTGGAATGATCTAATTGGGGACTGGTTCTGCTTTTAGCAGGGGTTTGGATTAGAAGACTTCCTGGGCTGGGGCAGACATTACACATATACTGGTTTAAGTGATCAGAAACTGGTTTAAACCTGTAACAGAACAGAGTTCAGTGTACATAAACCAGTTTGAAAATGGCTGAAACTGGTTTGAATAAACCTGGTTGACTGTAGTATCAGACTTAACTGATTCAAGTTAAATGAGTTTATGCAATGTCTACCTCAGACCCCTTGCTGGTTTAAGTTAAACCAGACTCCCTCAGCATTCTGGCATGCTCTTTGTGGTGGGTCGGGCTCTCTGCTCCACAGCAGGGCTGGCCTCTCCCCTTTGCTCCTTCGCTGGAGCTCAACAGAGACTGCAGGCATCTGCTTCACTCCCCCTGCTCCCCCACTCCCCATCCCGTCCTGTCCCCTCTGCCTTACACAGATATGTCTCAGCATTAGTTAGCATACTGCATGCTGGCTATTGTCTGTGCTGTAGCAGATGGGACAAAGGCAGAATCAACAGGTAACTGATAATGTCCCTCTGTTGTGTTCTTAATGGGGTGATAAACACTGTGTTATCAATTCCCTGCTGGGCTGGTCAGGATAGTCAGAGCATCCTGCCAGGGCCTGGTCACTCTCCCCACCCGCTCAGCACTATAGAAGGGAAGGGAGGGCTGCTCTAGCGCACCCCAACTTCTAGCTTGAGCCACTGCAGGCATGTGGCTGAATTTCTGGAATGAAAAGGGAATGTCTATCCACCTCCAAGTTGGTTCAAGCTTCACAGGTTAGACTAACCTGCAAAGATTGAATCAATTTAGGCTCAGGCTTTTTGAATGTCTGTCGCTAGCCCTGAGGTCCTTTCCAACCCTACTTTTCTATGAAGGTATTTTCTGCTTAGCATGCTGTACTGTGGGGTATTGTGAGAGGCTTTAATTAAAAAAAAAAAGATTACTTAACTGGAATGTATCCAAAAGCAAATACGCTCCTGTTGCTCATGACAATGAGAGGGAGAAATATAACCAAACCAACCATTTTGCTTGGCACACACTTTGGGGCAGACGGTGGGGAAGTGGCTGGGGCTGGGCTGCCACAACAAGGATCGGGTCCTTTACAACTTCCTGCCACCCACCTCTTGCATGTCAACATCTTGCAAGTTGAGGTTACGAGTGTTTTTGGCACTCTGCCCAGAAATGATGTTGACCCCTGATCTAGAGTGAGTCTTAGATAAATTAGAATGCAAGGTGTAAATCTTTCATCGCGTCTGAGACTCCAGTAAGAGTACACTGCTTTAAATGATGTGCTGATTTACAGTCTGGTCTAGGTTGTAAAGCAAAGATGGAATGTGTATGCCATGATTCAAAAGGCATGGCCAGCATGGGCTGGAGTCTCTGACCTCAATTTCTCCTGCTCTTCCCTTTTCTGGATGTTGCTACCTCCAAGAGTACCAGGATTAAAAAAAAAAAGCAGGCAAGATACAGGAAAAAGGAAGGGTCTTTGCTTCTGCTTCTCCTGCCCACTGAAACATGCAGGTGTAGGCATAGCCTGAGCACTCAGAGCAACATCTAAATTGTTGCTAAATGAGGAGGCAGGACATGGGATGTCCTAGCCCAGTCCACTACTGCTTGTGCCCTGAAATGTAGTAGTTACACACTGCAAATTACAGGACCAATTTTGCAAAACTGAAACAAGGCAAAATCCCACTGATTTCCCAAAGAGACAGTACGAATAGGCCCTCTGGAATTTTAAATGTTAATAATCTTGGGTGATTTCCTCCTCTTTTCCCTTACTCTTAAAGTGATAGGATTTTGCCATTTACTTTAGAGGGTCCAAGATTTCTCCCCTGAAGCTTGAAACATGTAGAATTGCTACAGACTCTTTGTTAGTGGATTGTCATAGTAAATTTAATTTGTTTTGGTCTATGTATTAAGTTCATAAAACAGTGATAAAGGTTCACGCCAGCTCAGAAAAGCCACTGGGAACTTTACAGCTGATTTTAATGGTAGCAGGAGCAGGCCCTATACACAATGGAATGAGCATTGTACAAAAAAGCAACATAAATGATACAAGACATCATGTGACTAGACCAGTATGCAAAAAAATGGGAACTGTAAACTAACCCTTCTTGCCCCGTGAGTGTGTGGGAAAATACCCTTACAGTTCTTGTAGTGCAACTCACAGCTGGGTCTGCAGACAAGGGTGGCATGAAAATTCTGACCTCAGTGACCTGTAAGACAAGGAACTGCAGTCAGAACGAAATATCTTCTTTGCCTGTCCCACCCCTGTGGTATGGTTCTTGTGGACCAACTGATTATCATTGGGAAAATGTGCAGGAATGGTCCCAGATGGAGTCAGTGAGAGTGAAGAGAATGATGAGGAGTTGGTGGGGCTGAATTCTGATGGGAATCATGAATGTTTCATAAGAACTCAGGTCTTGGTATAAAGCACCCTGATTTCAAGCGCACATTTAGTGAGAAATATTGTATGCTGTCCCTAGCATGTACTTAATGACACAAGTGCAAGGGAGGGAATTAACCAAAAAGTGTACCTTGGGCTGAACTGACGTAATCATTCTGCTCACTTTCTTAGATCTAAACAAAAGGTTTCTGTGGTAGAGGCAGACACTGCATTGTACTTCCTCTTCTAAATACACCAGTTACAGTGAGCAAGGTTTCTGTTATACAAGGTAAGATAATTTTAAGATCTCTCAATGCATTAAAGCAAGAATTAACAAAGTTTTTTCCTCTGCAAATGTTGCTTTTCTTGCACTTTTTTACCCTGGATACACTCTTGTTAAAAGTGAAAGTTATGGAGATAGGGTTTTTATAGAAAACTGTGCACACATGGTGAAAAAGCAGCAGTATGAGTAGATCTGCTTGCCCGCCAAAATGCTTGCAGGAGCTAAAGGAGCTAGCTGTAATAAGCTATTGGTTTCAAAATGGATGGCATTTATGCCTGGGCAGTTGAAATTATGTTGGTTGCCATCAAGAATAGTTACAAGATGTTCTATTATCCTTGTTCGCTAATTTCTGAGATAAAAGAATTTGCATATTCTTTTAACTTTTCTATGAAGAGACAGAAATTAAAACAAATTCTATTTCCTATAGCAACCATTTTTATTGAAATAGTAAGAATCTTTGTTTTAACTTCTATTCTTACATAATCTGTGCCACTTTATAAGTATTTTGTGAGATTAGAATAGTTTTATTCTAAAGATAAGCTGGTTTGGGCTCAATGTTACTCTCAAGAACGGAGTCAGTTTGCATTGCTATTAGAACAGCAATGATTAATTTGGCTTAACTATATCTGGATTCTCTGACAGATGCACTTAAATCATAGTTTTATAAAGATTCCTCACTTAAGAGATCCTTAACATAACACACTTCAGTTTGTGGAGAGGCAATTAGAATGAATTGAGCTGATTAGTTTGATCCTTTGTATAGTGGCTAAACAAATTACTTGTGCAAAGTATATAGTACTCTAGTACCTATAAGTACTATAATAGAAAGAAGTACTATCATACTAAAATACTAATTGGTACTAAAGGTACTACAGACAAACTCACCAGTGCAATGGGGCTCCAAACTTTATTAAATAAAGCAAAAAGGAATAACCCTAATGGTGAATCATTTGGCACGTTAAGTCAGTCTTGCCAGAAGTTTGCAGGGGAGAAATCATTGGCATGAGATGCAGTATGCTATAAGTACATGAGGTATTTTCTTTTTAAAAAGAGATACCTTTTGTTGTCAAGATGTGCTGCAATGGACATGAATCCTATCTGAGCATTATGGGCCAAATTCATTCCCGATGCAAGTCCACTTCAGTAGAATCCTGCCAACGATGAATATGGTCCCTTTAGAGCCAAAATGGTACTGTGATTATTGGAAAGGGTATGTACATTTGTGCGTGTATTGAAGGGTGTGGTACAAACGGTTTTCATCAGTTGCTCATACTGATGGACAACAGAACACAGGAGGGGAAATATGAATCAGATTAGCATTATCAGATGCATCCACATTACAGTTTGGACAAGTAGTGACCAACAACTACCCAAAAGGGTGGCTTTTCCACTTTTGACTGTGAAGGTTTTAACTTGAATTGTGATTGCAGCTGTCTGCAAGATGCATGAATCAAGATGGATGCTAGAGAAAAGAGTCTGTAACATAATGTGGTTATTTATGTCAAGACATCATTTGATGGGCACAGTAGAAGGGTATGGAGCAAGAAATGATATTCCTACACTTCTTGGTTTCAGAAAGATGAATATTTGTTTCCTTATAATGGCATAGTGGTAATACTTGCCAAATATACCTGTAAGTAATAGTGCAAACAATGAGAGGCTACTTTCTTCCTTACTATCCCAGCCTTGAAAATGCAAACTGTGCTTACAATGTAAATTGATTAGTTTACATGAGACACTTCAAATATACATTATTTATTTTATTGAAACTGTATGTTCCAGAGAAAGTGTTTCAGTGGGAACGTGTGTTAGAAGCAGCTTTCACTGTCCACCTGTGGCTCCCAAACTAGGGTAGTAAGTGTTCAATGTGGATTCAAAAAAAAGGATGAAGATTTCAACCAGTCACTTGCGTTCTACAACATAACAAAGGACACCCCTGCATGCTAATACCTTTGCAATTAGAGGGCTCATTTCCTGCAAAGCATTGTACTGGATCTCTTTCTCTCTCTCTTTCTCTTTCTGTGTGTGTGACAGGCATACACACGTGTAGGACTGAAAGTTTAGAAGGCGGTTTAATCACACTTGATATGCATTATGCTTTTAATAAACATATTGACAAGCATCCTGAATGGTGTGTAGGAGTGTTATAGATGCACATTATTATTCTATAATGATTTTGCATTCTTAGTCAGTTCATCGTTCTTTCATCATATACTGCCTGATCCAGAATCCATTAATATTAGTGTAGAGCCTCCTATTGACCCCTAGACTGTGGGCTAGGTCCAAGCTAACTGCCAGTCTAACACAGCCCATATGCCAATTCAAGTTTTTAGCCTTTATTTTTGCTCAGCTACAATTCTGTAGGAAGTGTTTGAAACCATGTGGCAGTAATTGCAAAGACTCTGAACAGCTACTTGTCCTCGTTTAATTTCAATTAATATATGAATTTCCCATAGGAACTTGAAGGACATTTCTCTGTGAAATAATTTTGCTATGAATTGTGAAACAACAGAACAGGAGGTTTTAAAACTGAGATAGTACCAGAAAATATTCAAACAAATAAAACCAATAAAACATAATATCAGAATACTCTGAGCACATTTATGTATCTGGGTATTTGCCTAGTCCTCATCACTGTTTTCTCTAATGACGTTAGAAACTTGTGCCTGAGAAAGGAGGCAAAAGAAGCAAAATCTTATCTGACACTGACACCTTGTGGCCAATAAAAAAGCCTAAAGAAACCAAACAGGTAGAACTGGGAGAAAACTCTTACTGTTCTGTAACTAACAATAGTGCCAGGCCTAACTTATTATGATGCCCCTGCTTTTTCTGCTGTGAAAATATGGATTTTATACAGCCAACAAACTGCACAGATAAACTCTACACTGCCTAGATTTTAATTCACATCCAAAATGCTTAGTAAAAGGCATAAGTGATTCTGTAGTGGCAGAAAATACAGGTGAAACAGGACCAAGAATATTTTCATAGAATCACAGAAGTCAGGTCGGGAGGGACCTTGTAGATCTTCATGTTCGACCCCCCGCCTGGGCAGGAGAAAAACTGGGCTCAGATGACTCCAGCCAGGTAGGCATCACACCTCTTCTTAAAGACCCCCAGGGTAGGAGCCAGCACCACTTCCCTTGGAAGTTGGTTCCAGCTCCTAGCTGCCCTGACTGTGAAGTAGTTCTTGCGGATGCCTAACCTAAACCTCCTCTCCAACAACTTGTGGCCGTTATTCCTTGTTATGCCAGGGGGTGCTAGGGGAAACAAGGTCTCTCCCAAACTCTTCTGGTCCCCCCTAGTGAGTTTATAGACAGTCACCAGGTCCCCACTCAGCTTTCACTTGTGAAGGCTGAACAGGTTCAGGTCCCGCAGTCTCTCATTGTAGGGTCTGCCCTGTTGTCCCCGGATCATGTGGGTGGCCCTCCTCTGGACCCTCTCAATGTTGTCCACATCCTTCTTGAAGTTATCTTAGACACTTGTTCAATACAAAAACTTTATTAATGACCTGCACTTAAAACATTCTCATTGCCCAAGGACACAAGAGAGGGTCCACTGAAAATAACCACACATGATACCGAGCTAGAAGGAGTTGCAAGAGACCAAAATTCAAAATAATAAATCGGAGAAAGGGTCTACATAAACAGGTTGCTTTATCCTGCTGGTTTATATATGGAAATTAGTTGTATTATTAGTTCCTCAGGGTAGTTTTATTTTCCACAAAATGAACTTGAATCTCCAGCAAGACAAACAGAAACTAATATCCACTGTTTCCAGATGTTGGAAGAGCCTCTTTTGCTTTGGCTTCTTCCCAGCACAGCAGCCTGGCTTCTCACAGCTTGCTGGCTTGCTCCCCTTGATCTTCTGGAAGCTTTTAAAAGAGTCCCCAGTGGGACAGACCTTCATTAGCAGAATGCCCTATGGCTGAACGTCCTTAACTGGACTGGCTGCCCCTTTCGCAGGGGGAGAGACCACAATGTTACAGCCTGAAATTATCAAAACACAGCTCAAAGGCAAATATTGAATCGAGGTAGAATAACACACACAAATACAGTATTTGGGGAATAAATGATTAGACTGAGTCAGTGCAGCAGGAAAAGATGTGGAGGTTAGAATGAATCATAAAACACCAGCCACCACATGATGCTTATGCAAAAGAGGAATATATTTCAGCGTCTTGCCCACGAGGAGATACTTCCACCCTATTCAGTTCTGGCGAGGCTTTAGCTGAATTTTATGTCCAGTTTTGGGCATAGCCCTTTAAGAAAGGCAAATAAATCAGAGAGTTCAGAAGTAGCAGCAAAAATGTTGAGCACACAATGTTTAAAAAAATGTTGAGAAAAACCACATGACCAAAGAGAAAAGACTAAAGGAATTGAATTTTCTTAGTGTAGAAAAAAGTAAGACTCAGAAGGAACAACAAGAACAATTTTCCAACCCATAAAAGATTGCTACAAATCCTGGTGATCAGTTATTTCCCATTGACAGAAAGGGGCACATAGATGGGGGTAGGACAAGAAGAAATCGACTTATATTTGCAACTAATATATAATTTGGATATTACAAAATAGCACTATGAGGATAATTAAGGAGCGACATAACTTATTAAGAGAAGCTGCGGAATCTCTTTCACTGCAAATTTTAAAGAACAAGGTAGACAATGTTCGTTGAAGATGGTTTAAGACAAAGGTGTTAAACTGGAGCCAGGGCACACAGCTAGTCTAGTGCAGGCACCTCATGCAGTCCTTACCGTGCATGCACCATACACCCGCCCCCATCTGGGTCTTGTGCACAGAGCTAGCATGGGGTGTGCACTGCATGAGTTGCCCAGACTGGACTGGCTCTGCGTGCTGGTTCTGGTTCTTAGGGCCAGTCTGTGTGCTATATCTTTTGATGTCCCTGATTTAAGTACACTAGATTTTGCCTCAATACCAGGGGGATCTCTTGAGGTCTCTTCCTTCCATTGCTATGATTTTATGATAAAACTGTACAAGATGGGCCAGCAG